GGGGGTCGGTGAGCCGAGAGCCGGGATCATATATACTATAATTTTAGTAAGGAGCCCCCCCAAATAGTATAGGCAACTCATTAGGCCCCTACATTATCCCGGCCCCGGGCTGGATCTCTTGAGGATGGAAAATGAGTCAATGCGAGGGCGCACTTGCTGGGCCAGCTGTGTGGCGCGAATAAGCACCGGTTAAAATGTAAAACCGATCCTGAAAGCAGAAATAGCAATGCTTGGCAAGCTCGATGGTCAGTTGACTGCCTCTGACGCAGCCCGTGCCCTCCCCCTCAGTTGGAGGCGGGAAGATGAAAGCAACACGAGTGTCAGCCGTGTGAGATCCTTGAAAGGATCGCTTGGCTTCCGTGCCCTTGCCCGGGTTTGGAATCCGGACCCGTGCAAACATCTCAACCTCCTCAAAGGAGCGCAGGGTCATTCCCTTGCTCATGAAACTGTACGCGGCAAATGGCTCGCGAGCAATTCTCCTGCGCATGTCCTGATGCTGACTCTTTGACCCTGAACCCTAAACCCCGAAACCCCGAAACCCTAAACCTCTAGACTGAACCCGAAACCCTAAACCCCGAAACCCTAAGCCCCTAAACCCCGAAACCCTAAACCCTACACCCTAAACCCTTAAACCCTAAACCCTAAACCCCCGGAAACCCCGAAACCCTAAACCCGCTAAACCCTAAACCCGGAAGCCCTCAGCCTTTCAACCCCGCCTTCAACACGGACTGCAGCGTTCGCCGTGCCTCGCGTGACTTCGCTTTCCCGGTCCGGGAAAGATCGCTTGGGATGAGGAAACCTTTTTATGGGGCTTTCAGGGATTCCAAAATGGGGTTCGTAGGATTTCATGGTGCTATGTTAGGAGTGTAGTTGGGCTTGTAGGGGTGAAGCCCTCAACCCTCAGTAGAGCTTTATCCGGGCTTCAGTGTTAGGGAACTATGCTTCAGGATTTATCTTGTCGAAGCGCTGGGTTTCGTGGAACATTGTACTACATTCGAGAAGTTAATGGGTGCTATACAGAGGACTTTTTTGCTGAGAGTGCTCACCAAGAGATACAGGGGCTTTCAAGCGTAAAGTCGGGTTGTTGGTGAATCTGTGTAGAGTTTAGGATTTTGGGTGTATATATAAGTAGCCTATAAGGTTGGGTTTAGGGTTTTGGGTGTATGTATTTGGTAACCTAGGGTTCACAAAACAGGAAGATGCCCTGCAGAAAGCCTTGTGTTCTGCAGATCACACCTCGTATTCTTCTAATATATGAAGAAAGCGAACCCAAACCAAAGCGGCAACAAAGGCTAGAAGGCAGCGGGTGGTCTGTGCAAACCCTGAACCCTGGTGCCCTTGAAGCTTCATTATTGGTAGTTATCACCATGGCTATACGCCCCTAATGAGCTTAGAGGCAGTTGTGCGTGTAGTCACCTCTGCCAAAGCCCTACTTGCGGAGTCCTGGGCCCCTTAAGTCACTAATTACACCAACGAGGTATTCAAACCTCATCGAACTCCTACAATGTTACAAAGACCCTACGGGTCCAAGTACCTAATAATCATATACTATCCCAAACAGTAACCTACATAACTACTATTCGAAACCTAAGTACCTGATTACTGGGTCCTTTGGACCCTTGGGGAGACCATTAGAGTCGACTTACCATGTCCCCTGATCGTTGAAGTAACCTTCTCAAAGCCTGCTAAAGCAGTAATTACCCTTCGAAGCCCCTGAACTGAACCCTAAACCCTCAACCCTAAACCCTGAACCCTAAACCCTAAACCCTGAACCCCAAACCCTAAACTCTGAACCCTGAACCTTATAAGCCCTAAACCCTGAATCCTCAACCCAAAACTGTAAAGGTTCCGGATCGCCTGAGCTGCAGCTTCATCGCCAATACCTCGCTGAGTGTAGAGGCGGAACCTGCGCGCTAGCATCTCGGGCTTCTCGCTCCTATAGTTCCAAATTAGGGTTTAGGGTTTAGGGTTTCGGGTTTAGGGTTTGGGGTTTAGGGTTTAGGGCTCTATAGTTCCAAATTAAGGCCGGACATTCTCTGAAGGCAAAAGACCTGTCAGAGCCTTTTCAGAAGCCAATAAAAGTCGATGCAACATCCGAAACTCTCAGCCTAAACCCGAAAAAATCCTAACAGTATCCTCAACGAAGCCAATAAGTTAAGAAGCCTGTAAGAATGCTAGCAGAAACCTTCAACTGAAGCCTGATCAGAACCCTTTAAGAACCCCAACAGAACTGTGTAAAGACCCCTACTTGGCTGACTTGGCTGACATCTGAACCCCTCCTAAAAGTTAATTAAACTTTTAGCCTATTATTATAGTTCATACAGAAACCTAACAAATTCAAGTCCTAAGAGCCAACCAGAAGAACGCCAAGTCTATAAGTGCCCTATAAGAGCCCTTTTCCCAGACCTTCCAGTATCCCTTAATTAAGGAATATACCTTCAGTCATATTATGGATCCTGCTAGAAATAAAAGTCTATTCCTTACTTAAGGGATATATTGGAAGGTCTGGATAGGAAGCAAATTTCAGTCGCTGCCTCGAAGCAGAGCTGGCGGGGACCGTGCTTTCAGATGCTCCCGCCTCGAAGATGGCAGGGGAAAAAGGGATTTCGGCTTTGGGGCTTTGAGGCTTCAGGGGTTCGGGGTTTCGGGCTTTACGGGTTGTGGGGTTTAGGGGTGTAGGAGTTGAGGGGTTTAGGGGTTTCGGGTTTAAGTTTTGGGGTTTCAGGTTTTGACATGTGGGTATGTAGTTCTCTATAGATTAGTGTCCTGTGTTAGGAAGCCAAAGAAGGCAGCACTTGTATGAAACGGGCCCTAAAAGGGACCAGAATATCAGAGACCTGCCCAAATGGATTTAGGGATTAGGAACCCTAAACCCTAAACCCTAAACCGTTTGACGCGTTCGGGCCCAGACCTTCCAAAGTACGTTAATTAAGGAATATATGCCTGAAATCAGATTAGGGATCCTGCTTTAGGGTTTAGGGTTTAGGGTTTAGGGTTTAGGGTTTAGGGTTTATTCTGTATATTGCTCGATTAAGGCGACTTCAAGTATATATTCCTTGATTTCAGGGTCTAGGGCTTGGGGCTTGCGGCTTCTAGGTCAGAACACCTTTCCTGCTCCTGCGCATCTTTCCCTTTTTTGCGGCAACACTCGTTTTTCCCGGGCGGCACCTGGTTCAAGAAAACTCCAAACCCTAAAGCCTAAACCCTATTAGAAGGCCTTAAACCGAAACCCAAAGCTCGATTGAGGCTCATAGGATCTTATCGGGCTTAGGAAGCAGAAAAAGTTTCGCTCCCAAGAGTATTTTGCAGTGACACTCCTTGTTCGCAGTTTTGTCTCCTTGGCAGCATAGAATCCTTCCCAGACTCTGAGCTTGGACTTGAAGCACAAAAACATCCGCTTCCAAGTGAGCTTTGACCCTCCCGCCGTCTGGGAACGAGTTCATGACGCATAACTCTGAGTGATTCTGCCTTGGCGCTGTAGTCCCAAGACTGCGTCCATTTTATAGGGGCTTATACAGGTTTAGGAATCAGCGTTTAGGGCTCGTGATCTTATATATAGTTGTTAGGGGTAGAGGACCGCGCACACGATGAGAATGACCAAAGTAAGACTGAGCACAAAGAGCCATGAAGCACGAACAACACAGAACCCTAAACCCCAAGTGTCGAAACCAAAAGCTTGGGAATCGGATGGTTGTGTAGTTCAGGCTTGAGGGTCTGGACTTTGTACATTCGAGCTTGTGCGTTTAAGGGACTTAGGTCTTGGGGCTTACGGGGCTTAGGGTTCTGTATTGGGCACACATGGTGCAAAAAGACCAAATTGTACTCCTCTCCGAAGACAGTTAACGGAACAACTCATTTCGGAATCAAACAAAAAACTGCCCCAAGCAACCTGAACGGAATGGCCTAAAAATGGTAAACCCGAAAGTCGAAAACCCTAATTTCTCCAAAACCCTGAGCCCTATAAACCATAAAGCCCTAAACCCACCCTACCTACAGTCTCCATTGTAGTTCTTTTTTTGGTTAAACCAATTTTTTTTCGGATCCTACCAGGGAACCCCCCAATAGACTATAGGTAGAACCCAACCCAAAGTCAAGAGCCCAAAACGGAGCCCTGAAAGAGAAATCATGAAAAGAACGGGGCCTTGGCCTTAAGCCCCTGCTGCGCAAACTCCAGCGCAGGTCTCAGGCGGGCCAACCTTGACAGTGTTAGGGTTTAGTGTTTAGAGTTCAATGTTTAGAGCACAGTTTTAGGGTTTAGGGTTCAATGTTTAGGGCACAGTTTTAGGGTTTAGGGTTTAGGGTTCCATGATTACGGCTTAGGGTTTCGGGCCTACGATGGAAGGGATTACATTTTCTTCGATGAGGCTTTAGGCTTTCGGACTGAGTGCAAACCCCTCGTAACTAGATAACCGCCGCCCTCACCTGAAAGGGGGATGTAACAATGCTGATGAGCTAATTCCTGCATCACCTGCAGGGCCCTAAAGTATAGGACTTTTTTCTATATTCTAGATTCGCAGGATTTATGGCATTGGCTCAAGGACCCTAAAGTATGGCAATTCTGGTATATTCCTTATCATGGGTGATGCAGGATTTAGATCATCAGCCGTCGGGATCCTCATATCAAGGATTGTTTAAGAGAAGGGGTTGATAGGGTTTAGGCTTTAGGGGTTTAGGGGTTTAGGGTTTAGGGTTTGGGGTTTGGGGGGGTTACTAATCGGGTTCGAATGTCAAATGCGGACTGAAACCTATCGTCTCCTTCGTTGTTCGTTTTTTGGCTAACCAATTTCAGCACTATTAGGTTCCTGTAGCATAAAGTTGGTGAACCAAAGAAAGGAACTACAATGGAGACTCTAGGTGAACCCTAAACCCTAAACTAAAACTAGACCCTGAACCCGGTAAACCCCAAACCAAAACTAGACCCTAAAGCCTAAACCCTAGACTAAAACTAGACCCTAAAGCTTAAACCCTAAACCTCAGGGTTTAGGGAATTCGAACTCCGGAGGTTGGTCTCAGTTACAGCAACCCAGAGAGCCCAATACCCCGCAACTAAGGAATATACCTTAAATCATAACGTTAAAGCCCTTAGAAGTTTAAGGTCTATTCCTGAATTAAGGAATAGACCTTAAATCATAATATTAAGGCCCTGGGCCTATAATTTAAAGGTCTCTTCCTTAGTGAAGGGGGTATTGAGCTCCCTGGGTCTCTCTCCATTTCATGCTGTCTAAGGTCTATTCCTTAATTAAGGGGTATACTTATAATATTCAGGCCCTTCGAAATCCCTAAACCCTAAACCCTAAACCCCTAAAGCCCTAAACCCTAAACCCTAAACCCTAAGGTCTATTCTTTATGAAGGGGGGGGGCTCTCTGGGAAGCGGGTTTCGAAGGACTTCTTGGGGTTCACAAAGCGACTCCTGGGCTCGAAGTCTTCGGTTTCCTGAACTTGATGTCCTTTGGGTTTAGGGGTTTAGGGGTTTAGGGGTTTAGGGTTTAGGAGTTAGGGTTTAGGGTTTAGGGGTTAGGGGTTAGGGCTTAGGGTTTAGGGTTTAGGGTTCTTCCCAGAAGAGCCCAATACGCGTTAATTTAGGGAACATACCTGAAATTATACGGGCCTTAATAGTCTGAGCTGAGGTATTGGATCTCTTGGCTATACAGCTGCTTGAAAGCAGCATATAGGTCTTTGTGGCCTAAGGTAAAACGTTGAACCCTGAACCCTAAAGCCCTGAACCCTAAACCATCCTAAACCCTAAATCCTGCTAAGGTAAAACCCTGAACTCTGAACCCTAAACCCTAAAGCCCTGAACCCTAAATCCTGTTGAGGTAAAACCCTGAACCCTAAATCCTAAACCCTAAACCCTACACTCTAAACCATAAACCCTAAACCCTACACTCTAAACCCTTAACCCTAAACCCTAAACCCCTAAACCCCTAAACCCTAAACCGTAAACTTTTTCCGAGACCCGGACAGCCGCTGCACGGCGTCTTCTGGGATGCCAAGGCCTCTGCAGTTTTTCCAGAGAGCTTAGGGTTCCTTTAAAGGGTACTATATGGGTTCCTTTAAAGGGTACTATAAGGGTTCCTTTAAAGGGATCTGTAAGGGATTTAGGGCCCAGAGAGCCCAATGAGCTTCAGGGTTTGGGGTTTAATTAGGGTTTAGGGGTTTAGGGTTAAGGGTTTAGGGGTTTAGGGTTTAGGGTTTAGGGGTACCCCTTAACTAAGGAATATACAAAGTATTTTACTAAAATTGAAGGTATATTCCTTAATTGAGGGGTATTGGGTTCTCTGGGTTGGTATTCCTACAACTCCAGTTATCTAAATAGAAGGATATTGACCATAGGTGATATCTGTTATATACCCAAGTGACCCGGTATTTAGGTAGCCGCAGCTCTAGGGCCTTGTATTCAGTTGAGCATTCTAGTTTGGCATGTATTTCGTTGAGAGAGTTAACACCAACCCAGAGAACCCAATACCCCTTAATTCAGGAATATATCGGGCCTTAATATTGTGGTTTATGGTACATTCCTTAAATGCGGGGTATTGGGTTCTCTGAGAAAAGCACTTAACGGCACTCCTTTTCTTACAGTCGGCTTCAAGGAGGCGCTCCAAACAGAAGGGCCCAGAGAACTTAATGCCCCTTAAAGAAGGAATATACCTTAAATGGCTCCTTAAAGGGATCTATAAGCGTTTATGCTTTTGGGTGTAGGGGAATTGAGGGACATACCTCAAATCAGAATATCAAGGCCCCCACACTGTAAGGTGTATTCCTTAAGTAAGGGGTGTTAGGTTCTCTGGGGGTATCACCTCCAAACAAGGACCTAGTTCAAGGGCATGTTCGGAGTGCCTGGGCTGGGGAGCGCTTAATCCGGGCAACCCCTGAGGCCCAAAAGCCTGAAAGCATCTAATGTAGGGGCCTGAACAAGTACCACTACTATTTTGGGAGGCTCATTATGATAGCTTTAGTATAGTGGGCCCCAAAACCTTATTCTAATTATAAATGCTCATGCATTGTCATGTGGGGGCCTGAATAATTAGAATAACGATCTGGGCTCCGTTATAGTGTAAGTACGGTGCGGAACCCTCAGGAATATTGTCGGTAGTTATTCAGACCCCTATACTGCCTGAACCCGAAAGCGCCTATATACAGCTTTCGGCTCCTTGTCATGGCTCCTTTGCTAGACAAAACATGGGTAGTTCTCTAAATTAGGGTCCCCTTTTGCTTGTCCGGGACCTTATGAACCCCATAACAAACTTACAGGATCAGTTTTCTAGAACGCCATCAATGAGAATGAGACGAAAAAAGCAAACGGAACCCGGTGACCAGCGAACCTGGGATCCGACTCCACATGTGCTCTGCCCCAGGTTCTCCAGATGCAGAAAGGCATTCCCAGAGAACCCAATACCCCTTAAATAAGGGATACCTATATTGTAGTTCCTTTTTTTGCTTAACCAACTATATCTTCAGGATTTTATATAAGGTATCCCCAAAAAGGAACTACAATGGAGACTACAGGTATACCTTAAACCATACCTGTGGGCGAAAAAAACTACCTTTAGGGTTACCTATTCTGGTTTCTATATATATATATATATGTCCTTAAAAAGGTAGGTTTTTTGGGCCACAGGTAATATTAAGGCCCCTATGATTTAGGGTATACTCCTTAACAAGGGGTATCGGGTTCTCTGGAAAAGGCATTGTGGCATTTCTGCAGTCCACCATAACATGTTTGCACCTGTTCCAGCAATGCAGACCGTCTATGAAGCGCCACATGCTCGCACAACAGACGTGGCTGTGGCGCGCCACTCGTGGGCGGAGCCCGTACCTCTGCACGCTAAGGCTGCGGCATTCATCGACGAGGAGAACGAGAGCGGCTGCGCTCGCGGTAACCGGCAACGACGGCCACGATCTCAATACTTCTTCCTCCGCTCGATCATCTTAATATCCTCATCCTCCTCCTGTTCGGCTGCGTGTTGCTTGGCAACTTTGTTGGCATACATCGCGGAACTGCTTGGTGTACTCAAGATGTCGCAGGCGAACCCTGCTGTGAAGAAGTTGTTTCCCAGTTTCCAGACTACGGCTGTGGGGTGGGGGCGGGGTTTTACTGCAAACATTCCAGGGTCCGATCCCTGTCTTGAACCCTCAGACTTGACGAGCCCCCCCGGAAGCTGGAATCAAAACCCTAAACCCTCTCGGATAGGGTCTACGGCTTAGGTTAGGGCCCTAGCGTTTCCTGGGCTGATAGAGGTTTGTAAGGGCTGATGGCTTGTGGAGTTTAGAAGAGTTCTGTGTTTTGCCTTTATTCAAGCTTTCGGGTTTAGGGATTGAGCGCTAGACTCTATCCTCCTATACTTCGGAGCCTTACAAGCCCCATAAGCCCTCCCAGAGGGTCCGAGTACCCAAATAGTAAGGTTTTAAGTCCCAAAATCCATACTCTGAATGGTTTTTGGACCTTGAAACCCTATACTATTTGGGTATTTGGACCCTTAGGGCCTATTATTTCCCCAACGCACAAAGACCTAACAGGCGGAACCCTGGTGAGGCAGCCGCTGAGTTGCTCCGATGATGCCTGCAGCTAGGCTTGCGCTGGCGAAGACGGGGGGCTTGAGTTTTAAGGTTGGGGTTTAGGGCTTAGGGTTTTAGGGTTTAGGGTTTAGGGTTTAGGCTTGAGAGCCGTCCCCAAAGAACCCAATACCCCTTAATTGCGGAATATACCTTAAATCATAATATTTAAGGCCCCTATAATTTAAGGTATCTTGCTTGATTAAGGGGTATTGGGTTCTCCGGGTCGGCCATCTCCAAAAAGTTCTCATGCACAAATGCAAGCCCCAACATCGACCCTTCTGTTTGGTTTACTTTGGGGCTTTGGGTTTAGAGCTGGGAGGTTTTAGGGCTTAGTTAAAGGTTCTGGGCCTGTATAGAGGGCTCAGGTCGATAGTTCAGGGAGTAGGGCTACTGAGATTGTGGCTTGACCCTAAACCCTAAACCCTGAGACAAAAAACCCTAAACTCTGAGCCCCCAAACCCCTTGAAGATCAAAGTTAGGCTCAGCGCGTACTGAAAGCTTCATGGATGGTTGTTTAATTTAAGTGACTTTAACCTGAAGACCCTAAAGAACCTACCCTTTCAGGGATCCTGGCCATGGGTTCCTGAAATAAGTCCTGAACAGCTGCGATTAATTAACGCAGTTCGAGACCGGGAAACATAAACCTCATCTTAAGGCCATGAATATAAGGATCCCAAAGATAAGCCTGGTTGAGAAAAAGGGGGGCTAACGGGGGGGGCTAATTCCTTTACCGACACTTGAGGTGTCTTGCACCTTCACTTAACCCTAGGCCCCAAAAGCAGGCCGTACCCAGTGAACCCAATACCCCGTAACTAACGAGTATACCTTACATCATAATATTAAACGCCCTTCTATTTTTCACCCTAAACCCTAAACCCTAAACCCTAAACAGGTATATTCCGTAATTAAGGGGGTATTGGGTTCTCTGGGTACCGTTGATCCTCGAAGTGTCCGATGCAGTAGTGACCGAGATCCTTATGTTCAAGCGGTCTAATTTTGGGCCGTCAGCCCGCAACACCTACTGTTTTCAGGCTCCTTATTGTGTTTTATTTATATATATATATACATATATATATATATATGTATATACTCTGCAAAAGGAATGGTTTAGGGTTTAGGGTTTAGAGTTTAGGGTTTAGGGGGTTTGGGGTTTAGGGGATTTATCGGGTGCAGGTATACAAGGACCCCCAGTTTCTCAAGCTGGAAAAGTGCCTCAACCCAAACCCGAAACCTTGAAGCTTAAACCCTAAACCGCCTCCTGTTGCTTGAGGACGGCCAGGACCAGCGGTTGATCCTTTGCTGAGGGCAACTGCCGGAGCTCCCTAAACCCTACCACCCCGCACACCTACCCTTTTAAGTTTATAGGGTTTACCTCAACCCCACATAACCTATCCTTTTAGTGACTTCTATAAAGAAATCATAATACGGAGCCCTAAACAAGTAGGTTCTTTAGGGTCCAGGTAGGGTTTAGGGTTTAGGGCTTAGCGTTTGTCGAGGGTACAGGGGTTAGGGTTCCTTTTAAAGAATCATATACAGAAACCACGCGGCGACATAACGAACTGGTTTTGGTCGGCTACAGGTACCTTGGCCCACCATAACCCACTCTTTCGGTGAGGTCCCTCGAAACTCAATGTTAGGTTGTAGCAATACCTACAAACAAGCAGGCTATTGTAGTTTAAGGTTATAAACCCTTGAAGTATCGGTCCAGCGGTTAAGTTTACCTGCAAGTCTCTTTGCCTGAATTTGGCAGCCATTGCCCCTTTATTAGTAAGTAGAACCCATACAACTGTAGGTAATTAGAGTCCCAGGTAGGGCTTTTCTATTCGGCGATTCGGGTTTGGGGCTCGAAGTCCTAGCCTTTCAACCCTTTTAGGCTTTTATAAGTTTAGGGTTTAGGGTTTCGGGTTTAATGTACCAAACCCTCCCTCTACGGATCCTTTGCGCAAAGTTTTTGGCACGTTTTGAAAGATGTGTCCCCTGTCGCAAGGACATGGAGGTCCCCCTAAGTTGAAGGAACCCGGCACGATCAACTGCTCCTTCTTGAAATTGAAAGGTTGGATTCACCTCATCACCACAATGTTCTCGTGGATGCAGTCGTCATGGGGTCTCCAGAGAGCCCAATACCCCTTAATTCAGCAATATACCTTAAATCATGAAAGTAAGGCCCCTATGATTTAAGGTCCATTCCTTAATTCCCTTATAGCAACCCTTATAGATCTCTTTAAGGAGCCCTTTTAAGGTCTATCCCTAAACCCTAAACCCTAAACCCTAAACCTATCCCTTAATCAAGGGGTATTGGGCTCTCTGGGTCATGGGCAGCCAGTGGGTTGCCGGAGTTTGTCGGATCCCGGACGGGCAATCTCAGCCCGTGACCTGGGTTTAGGGTTTCGGGGTTTAGAGGCTTAGAGGTTCAGGGTTTAGGGGTTTAGGGTTTAGGGTTTAGGGTTTAGGGGTTTAGGGTTTAGGGTTTAGCTTTTAGGGTTTAGGGTTTAGGGTTTAGGGACCGATACACTTTAGGGGCATCTCGTCCGATGTGCGCATCGAGCCGTGCCCAAATGAAAAATCTTCGACACTACGAACTCAAACAACACATGTGGGCTCTTAGAGGCCAGCGCCCCTTCCTAACGGACAATCCCGAGGTCACATAAGCCAGTGTTGGGGACTTTTGGTATATCTAACAACGGGCTGCATATGGGGGTTTCCGAAGATAGGGGACCCTAATATAGTACCCTAAAAAGTAGGATCCTTATTATAAGGACCCCAAAACAAGGTACCCCTTATTTTCGGAAACTCCCATATGAGTAGTTGTCAAAATTATGGTCCCTTTTGGGGTGCCCTAAATAATAGGTGCCGTATTGTAATAAGGACCCAAAAAGGGACCATAATTTTGACAACCACCCAAGTAGCTTGATCCTTTAAGTAGGTAACCCTAAACCCTAAACCCTAAACCCTAAACCTATTAAGTCCCATGATATGGTCCAGCAAGTTTGGGTTTAGGTAAGGGTTTTGGGATCCTTGCGAGCTCGAGCCCGGAGAGCCCCACTACCCCTTAATTAAGGAATAGGGTTTAGGGTTTAGGATTTAGGGTTTAGGGTTTAGGGTTTAGGGGAATGAAGGAAGATGACCTTCAATCATGATATTAAGGCCCCTGTGGTTTAAGGTATACCTTAATTGAGGGGTATTCGGCTCTCTGGGAAGTTCTGAGTAGGACAAGCGCAGATACGGGCACTTGCAAGCTACCCACTGCGCTGGCACCCCCTCCAAGAAAACCCCGAACGCGACCACCTTAAACCCGAAAAAGCCCAAGACCAACCCTTTGAAAGCATCAGAACAACTTCCGCGACCCCAAACCATAAACCCTAAAACCCTAAACCCTAAACCACTTCCCAGAGATCCACTATCTACGTCCCCTGAACCTCCTCTAGCTAGAGATACCCGAATTACACCTAAAACCCGAAACACTCCAAAGGCAAATTAAGCACCCCGGAGACAAGCAGTAATTGCCTCAGTCGCAGTGGATTTAGGATCTTAGGGCCTTAAGGTATGTGAGTTCAGGATCTCAGCGCAGTTTGAATGATCTTCAGGAACCCCCAAAATAGCATAGATCATTATGAAATTATGAAGGCCCCTGTAGTACACCCCGTTCCTGTCCAAACTTCGCCGAGGTCTAGACCCAGACTGCCCTGAGCGACACAGCAAGGAAGCGGAGCCTCGGAAGGCTTTTGTTTCGATGTAAGTACCAGGACCCACCAATGGCCTTAAACCCTAAACCCTAAACCCTAAACCCTAAACCCTAAACCCTGTAATGGAGCCCTATATGGTTCCTAATAGTATATGGGATATAATAGAGGGTAGTTGGGGGTGTGTTTAGTTGTAACATGGGTAGAATAGGGTTCTATAGGGTTCCCTTAAAGGGCTCCTTGAAGGGTTCTATAAAGGCTACTATTAGAGTTTAGGGTGTAGGGGCCGTATTATTTGAATAGGGTTTTGGGCTCCTTTCTAGTATATTCATAACAAGGAGCCCCAAGAGTGATATTAGTAACTATTTAGGCTTCCATATTATGCTCCCTTCAAGAATCTCCATGACTCGAACTGTCTTAGGCATTATCGCTATGCTGTTCCAGGCTGCGTGACATGCCTAGAAACGACGATGCAAAAGAACCACTCTGAGACTGCGTGAGCGCCAGCGCAAAAGCAGCAAAAGACCCACTCTGAGACTGCGTGAGCGCCAGTGTAACTGAAGCATGAGGAATGGCGTGAAGCTCACGATGGCCCATGCAAGTGTCACCAGACCGGGCAACAGGATTGTGATTGCCAACTGACTCCACCCAAAGGAGATTCCAAACCAAACAATAGTTAGCAGAGAATTTCATGCTTCGGACTTAGCAGCAATTTCACAAGACTACAAGCCTAATGTCGGGGCCTTATCATAATTAGACTAGGGTTTTGGGGTATGATGATACCATAATTATAACAAGGAGCCGCCGATATAGTATAGGTAACTATTTAGGCCCCTATGCTAGTCGAACTGGCAGCAGAAACCCACGAAGACAAACCAAACTGCAGGTCCACAGAGACAGAGGGGCTTCAAGGGGACAACAACCTCCCTCGTAAACTCTTTAAACCCTAAACCCCTTTAAACCCCTAAACCCTAAACCCCTAAACCCTAAAGCCTCCAGCCCAAACACATTCCCGCCCCGAAAGCCTACACCCTAAAGCCTGAACCCTAAACCCCAAAAAACAAACCGCCCGCGATCGCTGAACCCTTGACGCACAAATGCCTGCAGGACCTCAAAATCATCCAGGCGCTCAGCCTAAAACCCCAATGCCCTAAACCCTAAAGCCGAACGCCGAAGCCCTGAACCCAACGACAGCACCCTTTAAACAGCCTTCAAAAAGCCACGCCGAACTACCCTGAGCCACCTTTTAACTTGCAAAAGGCTCTTAGGGCATCATTCTAGAACCCTCAACAGAAAACCTTTAAGTACAGACGCACGAGACCCTTAGCCAGATCCCTGAAACAAGCCCTAAGGGTCCAAGTACCTAATAATCATATATTCTCCCGAATAGTAGCCTACATAACTACTATCCGAAGCCTAGGCTCAGGCGCGTGAAAGAATGAATGCATGCTGTGCCTTAGCGCGCCTTCGTTGATGCGCTGGACCTCCATCCGCAGTTCGGAAATGTGCTCAGGCCCGATGCACTGATGCGCACGCTGCACGCCCCCCCCCATGCATCCATGAGCCAGGAACGTGGTGGCTTTGCACGGCACTCCTTGCAACTGCGCAGGCTGTGGATGACCTGACAATGATTCTTCCATTGACTTGGTGCCCAGCCAGCTGAAGTCCGAGTCGCGTTGCAGATCGTGCAGAGCATGGCAGCACAAGGTGGAGATCGAAGGAAGGATGCGAAGCTTCAGCCCAAAATCTGGCATAACCCCTAAACCCCCCTAAACCCCTAAACCCCTAAACCCCTAAACCGGCTAAACCCTACTGAACCCGAAAACCGATTCCTGAACACACACCCTCGGAGAACCCAATACCCCTAAATTAAAGAATATACCTGGACCTTAAATCATGCCATTAAGTCCCTTATAACTTAAGGCATATTCCTTCATTCCCTTCTCGAAACCCTTATAGATCCCTTTAAGGAGCCCTAAAAGGTATATTCCTAACCCTAAACCCTAAACCCTACAACCCCACAACCCCAAAACCCCAAACCCTAAACCCTAAACAGGGGTATTGGTATTCCTTCATTAAGGGGTATTGGGTTCCCTAAACCCAAAACGGCCCTAACTTATCCTAATCCCCGAATCCTAAACCCAAAAAGCGGCCCTAAAAGGCCCTAAAACCTTAAACCCAAAACCCTAAACCCTAATCCCCAAATCCTAAACCCAAAAAGCAGCCATAAAAAGCCCTAAACCCTATAAGCCCTAAGCCCTAAACCCTACACCCTAAAAGGCCCTGAAACCTTGAACGAGCCCTCGGAGTGCTGGGAGCCCCAGGCAGCCCGGAGAGCCAGCGGCCCATTCGCGCGGCCGGCAGCGGATCTTGCCTTGGCTTTGCTTTAGGTTTTATAGGGTTTTAGGGTTTTAGGGTTTATAGGGTTTATAGGGTTTAGGGTTTAGGATTTAGGGCTTGTAGGGTTTA